CCTGCTGCTTCGTGCTCTGGGCCCTGGGCCCCGGGGGCTCCCCGGCGGGGGGGCGCCCGGGCGGCCAGGCCCCCTGCGCCGCCTCCGCGTCCGCACTCGGCGGGTTCGCGCGGGACGCGGCCGCCGCGCACATGCTCAAGCTCTACGAGCAGTACAACCGGCGGGGCGGCCGGCCCCGCGACGGCAACACGGTGCGCAGCTTCCGCGGCCGCCCAGGTAAGCGCGTCCCGCGAGCCCGGCGGGCGGCTGGCGACCGCAGGGCCCCCCGCTGGCGACACGTCCCCTGCGGGCGCCGCCGCTTGCCCGGATTCCCCGTCCCCCGCCGCGGGGCCTCGCCGCAGGGCAGCGCTCCCCGCAACCTGCGCCTGCTGCGGGCGCGACGGGAGCCCTTCTCGCTGCACCCACCTCCCCGGGACACCTCGGGCACCAGCCGCGCAGCGGCTGCCCCGGCCCCAGCCCCTCTCCTCTCGCTCCTGTCCCGCCCGCGCAACTCGCTGCTACCAACAGTGCCGCCTGCGGGGCCGCCGAAAGCCGCGCGCCCGAGTGCGGCGGGCTGGGGAGGTGCGTGCGGGACCTGCCCGCGCTTCCCTGGCGCGCGCGAGTGTCCCCAAACCCATCCTCATCTGCTCTTGATGCTTCTGCATGACAGCCGAGTTCTCAGTTAGCACTCGACACTTGTTGTCCACAGAAATTCCCCAAGCTCCATCTCTGGGAACTGCCTTCCTTTCCTTTGCTCCTACAGGCTGTAAGGAGAAACTGGCTTCTTAAGACTCATGTCAACTTCCAGAATATCATCTTTGTTATATTTCCATGAGCTTTCACTTTTTGTATTTGATAAATGATTATTAGTGTTTATTAGTAAATGGTTATTAAAGCATCGCGCGCTACTTTGTGTCCTCCAGGGTACCCTAGCTTTATTTTACAGAAAATTTAACATTAAAAAGCTTTTTTTTTCTAAAAAAAAAAAAAGCTTTTTTTAAAAAAAAAATTTTAATTAAGTTTTAAGGCACATCCAGACGCTTGGGAAGAAAGCAAGTCTTAGTGCTTCGGCTCAACAGCTGTCGGTGAACTAACTGGGGTGAGGAAGGAACTTCCCCCATGGGCAGGTTGTTTCATGAGATCCTCCTCCTCCTCCTCTGGCGCTTTTGTGAACCAGCAGATAGTGGCTGCTGCCTGAAAAAGGCCCTGAACCAGCTGATCTAATAGAAATACAGGAATTGTCTGTATTTTGAGAGGGKTTTTTTTCATATTTCAGTAGATTAACTGAGAAATGGTTTACATATAAGCAGCTGCATATTCTTAAAACACTCAACTAGCATGAAATTTAAAGAGCAGATTATCTTGCCCACAAATACTGTTCTGAACAACAGATCAGTAGTATGTTGCCCATCTTGCAGCTCATAAAATCAAGGTATAGGAAACTGGAAGTAACTCCTCCCGGGTTAGGCAGTCAAAATAAGGCACGGCCCGCCCAAAACCTGTCCCACAGTGTGCCCCCCCTCACCTTCATCCCACCTCTGCCCCACAGCATGGCACGAAAGCAGCAGCTACTCTGCTGTGTTCCCTTGTTGGAAGGACAATGTGTTACCTCCTTGCAGTTCTCCAAAAAGCCTGAAATAAACTCCAGAATGACACAAACTGGGGATCAAAGGGGGGGAATAAGAAAATCCTATATCTGGCATTATGTTTTGCTTTCTGTATCTCCTCCAAGAAATTCTAGTGTTCTCTGCCTTGAAGTCCACCATGTTCCTCTAGCAAAACATATGGAATATCTGTTCCTTATAAAACACAGATGATGCTTCTGATATTATTKTGATACGCAAAACAGGCTTAAGATCTATCATTTCATTTTCCCAAGCAATGAGCTCTTTAGAAATACACACTTCCAAAGATTTGAAAGGCCTTACATTTTGTGCCACAGGTTAAAGGTATTTCTACGGGACACAYGAGTATCACCATTTTAAAGTATGCCAAGACAAGTGCTCCAAAACTGCAGTGTTGGTRCAAGTTTATTTTGCCCATCGAGCATGCACTATTGAGGTCTCCTTAATTGTAATTGCCATGCAGTTCTTGCAGAATCTACATCCCATACATGGCATGAATAGTTTTGAATATGGAGAAATATTACATAGTAACTCAGTCAATGTGGAATATTATGTGCTGTATAAACTTTGCATGTGTTCCAAGTCAAAACTCTCATGTTTCTCTAGCAGCACAAAATGCTTCAGGAGGAGAGGTTCATAAATCTACAATGGATTCCTCCTAACTCTCCCCCCAGTCATTCAGGAGAGATTGTTATTGGTCGGATATCGCGCACTAATACAAAAAAGGCACATGCAAATTAGTTGATAGCCTTTTTCTTCTGGGTGCTTCCTAGTTTTCAGGTAACTCCTTATCTTCAGAAAACAGCACCAGTTTACTTAAGTTGCACTTACATCATCACTTTTAACTGGCTCTGGACACAGCTGGTAAACAAAGCAAAATATTAACTTGTTGTCTGTCATCATCTGGGGGTCTGAAATCGAGGAAATTGCTTTCATAGCAGCATTGAGCTATGTAAGTCGTGAAACCTACTTATAAACCGCCTGTCCCAGCTCTGACTCATTCTCCAAACACCRTCCCATCTCTATGCTAACTGAGGCTACAGCCTCGGCCATTGGGAGGAAATTAGCCGCTCCTTAATTACAGCTATATCATAATGCATACATCCAAGAAAGCCAAATCACGATTATCTGGAGAACTGTAATACTGTTCTCTAAAGTCTAAGGTTGTTTTAATATAATTTCATAGATTAAAATGCTTAAAATTAATTCTGGTCGTATTTTTTTTGCACAAATGCATGTCATCAGCACATCATCTGTGTTGTTAACCTTCCCTTACTGCAACAATGCATTCTTCCTTGTGGATTATCTATTAGAGACTAGCACTTCCTTTCCCTCGCCACTCACCTKTCTTCTCTGCCCACCTCCTACATATATCCTTCAGAAATCTTGCTCATATGCCTAACCTGAAGGTATCTACAGCACCTAAAAGTAGATACAATCACTAAAAAGATTAATATATTTAATGCATACAGCTTACACATTCTCAACAGCTTACACAGTTCAAGGAGTAGACCTTAAAAAAAGAAAGTGACAATTCTCAGTTTACAAGGTAGTAAAGGCTTGAGTGATATGATGAAATCTCACACATGTGGTGATGCTCCAACCAAAAATCAAGTCTCTTTAAGAATCCTAAAAAGCCAATACCTCCAGGCTTCTGGTTTTCCAGCAGCTGTAGATTCTCAAGTACCTATTCTCTCCTGCAAAGAAACTTGGCTTTTGAGGGGTTCATTTCATTTTTGGAATATAGAACGAATTTAGGTAAAATTAAATTCCTTCTCTCTGAGCGATGGTTTCAAATTCTCTTCACATCTGAAGCCCTGGCCTCTGGTGCCTGTACCTGGTGCTGCATATGCTCACCACTCCTATCTACAGAGCTGGYGGTACAGGGAGCCTTCCCTCCTCTGCAGCCTGGCGTGTGCTGCTGCTGACAGCGAGATTGCAGTCTCACGCAGAGCTCGCAAGAGGGAGGCGGCAGGGAGCCTTTTTGCCTTTTTTAACCATGCCTTCTGAAAGGCACAGACAGTAGCCTGGTGTTCTAAAGGAGATACTAAGATTAGCTTTCTCTTTGGTCCAGAAAATAGCCATTCAGCAAAGAATGCTTGCTCTTCTTTAACTTCTAGACCCCAAAGACTTAAATCAAATCTAACTCTTGATTTGTTTTCATGGTGCATCTGTACCCTAAGACTACAGTTTTTCTGTAGAAACAAGCAGACTTCAACCGAACCCTGCTCCTGTTTGCTTCCTCCCTGCCACTTAAGAAAACGTTATGTGGGTTCCTGCAGCASTGCAGGTGACTCCAATTTACTGCATTAGGAAAAAAATACAGACAGGTAGGTGATGTAGAAAATGTCTACTTGAACATTGGTAATTTCAGACTGTATGTGCAGGCCTGGCACTGATGAACATGGATTTGTCCAAACGATGGTTTTGGGCAGCAGGCATCTGAAATGGCAGGCAGGAACCGCTGATTTATTGGGATGTGGTACCCTTAATTTCCATATTTCAAATGAAACTGCTTAAAAGGAAGAATATGCTGCCCGGTGGCAGTTAGCAGGGCTGTGTTTGGTTGTTGACTGCCAGCAGTTCTGTGCTTCATCAGTGCATGTAAAAGAAACCCAGGGGAATCGTGGCTGGTGGGGAGTGCTGGACGGCTTGCAGATATGTCAGGAAGGGCTGCCAGAGGGTTTGTCCATTACTGTTAACCGAAGGTGTAAGCTTACCAGCTGAAGCCCTTTAATGACTTCCAGGTACCAGACTAAGCTTGAAAGTACGTGAATCATTTCCTGGTTTTGCTACCATCTTTCTGTTCATGTTGAAGCAAGATTTTTTGTCAGGAACCATCCACTATGGCACATGCAGCGTATGTGGCCCTTGAGGCCCTGGATGTGTTGCCCTGGACTCCACACACACAGTGAAGTTCAAAGAACAAGGTGGGAACTGTCAAAAACTTACAACAATAAAGAGAKGATGGCTCTGTCTAGGGATCCTATATGCACTTGTGCCAAAGCGAAAACTCTGTTTAAGAAGTACTGCAAACATCACTTGTTCTGTGAAACAAAATTGGTGACTTCAGGTGAACAACACTTGGATGACACTCATGCCTCACAGCAGGGGCATTTCATTATTCAAAGGGACTCTGGACTCATTGTAGTTAGACTACTCTGAGGCTTCTCCATAGCCTGACAGACTTAACAGAGAAAATTAGTCTAAATGTTTCCTTTCCCATCATGTTAATTATACTTTAGCATATTCTGTCCTCTCTAGTGAATGATACCGACCAGAAGCTACTGAGCTTATTTGATATTATATTACCTGATTTGAAGGGGGTAAATTAAAAGCAAAGTTTGTCAATCCACTTATTTAGCAATAGGCAGTTTAACTAACACTTCGGGTCTAAGCATTTATCTTTGTTTTTCTTGTTCTCTCATAGAATTCATGGCACAAAGGCCTGTCTACTGCTTCAATCTGACGTCAATGCAGGATTCGGAGATGATCCTTGCTGCCACGTTCCACTTCTATGTGGACAAACGTGCGCGGCACCGGGAAACGTTTTGTAAGCGGTCCAAGAACTCGTCCTGCCGCCTCCTTCACCTGCCCCAGATCCTGCAGCTCAACGTCATTTTCCGAAGCGTTCCCCRGAACTCTGCCTATGGACTAGTCAAGGGGAACATCACTGTGTTTCTGCAAAGACGAGGGGCTTGGCACACAAAGGACATTTCACACCTTATAAAAGAATCAAAACAGGCTGGGGAGCTCATTCTCTGTGCTGAGCTTGATTCTGGAGAAAAATACCAGGGCTTCCCTGAACAAGTTGCCAGTCACTTGCCTTATATACTGGTTTATGCCAATGATCTTGCAATCTCTGAACCAAACAGTGTAGCAGTCACCCTACAGCGGTATGACCCATTTCCTTCCAATGATGGGGACACAAATCTATCCCCAAATGCTTCTAATGATACTCGGGTGAAGAGGGATACATATCCCGGTAGCTCTATTCAGAACAATGAGTTGCCAGAAGTAGAATACAGCAACAAATACAGTAAACATGATACATGGGAGAATGCCTACAAGTCCTTAAAGCCAAAAGCCTCACGCAAAGACCGAAGGAGAAAAGGGCAAGAAAATACAGAAACACTCTCAAAATCTCAGGTGCTAAATTTTGATGAGAAAACAATGAAGAAAGCAAGGCGAAAACAATGGAACGAGCCAAGGATTTGTTCAAGAAGATACATGAAAGTTGACTTTGCTGATATTGGCTGGAATGAATGGATCATATCTCCAAAATCATTCGATGCCTACTACTGTGCAGGGGCATGTGAATTTCCAATGCCTAAGGTACTAAGTCTTCTCACTGTTGTTAACCTGCAAGTATAGTCCAATAGATCTACTTTTAACTATCCAGCTACTTTGCTCATTAGACTTTACCTTGCTTTGCTCAGTCTAATAATTTGAGAGATAGCTTTTCTGTCATCTTATGCATTGGAGTGCAGAAAAGCGTTCAAGTTTTCCCTTAAGTGGAGTCTGAAAGAGAGAGATTTTGAATGTTTATGCTTTCTTATGAGCAGAACAGTATGACAGAAGAAAGCTGAAAGGAAAAAAAGTGCTGTTTTTTTTGCTTTGCTTTGCTTTTAATATAAAATAGTAAGAAACAAGCTATACTGAAGTCTCAACTAATACTTTAGGTAAGAAATTAGATTTCCTAATAAATCAAAAACATGTGAAAAGTACTGCCACCTATCAACACAGCACCTTCCGTTTGTCACTGTAAGGAAAAGACAGCTGAGCCCTATAACTCTGAGGATGGATTTTAGTTCTAATTTTGCTAACATTTGCTTTATAGACAGACTAATATATCTGCACTAGCAGTTTGGAACCAAAAATCCAAAGAATTTTGTAGCCAAATCACAGTTACACCAATCTGTGGATTTTGGGCTTGACTGTCTATTTGGGTTTGCTTTGGAAAAGGTTTACTTTTTCTTAGTTCATAATTTCTGAGAGAACTTAAGCTTAAAATATACAGGCAGCTTCACAACTGTATCTTAAAAAAAAAAAAAAAGTCTGTCTTCAAGTGAACAATGCCTAAGGTATCAGTGGGAGAGCACAAATACAATCTTGTAAAAAACATTGCTCTAGGTGTGGATTTACTAATGTGCATTTCAGTAGAAGTAGACGGCAATGGGCACAAGGGAGAGGATGTGCTAGATGTACTTAATGATCCTCTGCCTACGTTACCACCTCCTGGTGTGGCCAATGTTTCTCTATCGCACAATATTGCCACCTGGCAATGCAGCCCCTTCCATTATCACCATAAGGAAGGGACAGCTGAGCCCTACCGAGAATTCTGAGCAGAGATTTTGATCGCATATGTGGCTGCGAGGAGGCAGCTCCAGCACCAGCCAGGGTAAGGTTTGTTTATGCACAAAGTTTAAAATGAATTGCTAATGAAGACAAACTAAATTATTCAAGCAGGCGGGTGCTGTTGCTTAGCTAACAGACCTCTTAAATAGCTTTTGACTTATTTTTGGGAACACTTGGGCAAAAGCAACCCACCATTTGCCATGTAAAATTATCTTTACTCCCGATTATGAGAACGGGCTCCAAGGGTTCTAACTCTCCTATAAACTCATCATTTATAAACATCACTATCTTTAAAACTCATCATCTTTAAACTTACCATCCRTAAATAAGATCTGTTTACCAAACACTATCTTGAGACATCAGTCACTTTGCGATGTGAGGACATATTGCTGACAGCAGCTCTAGGACTGTGCCTCAAGATAACGTCAGCCTAAGATTATTGCTGCATTAGTTAGAACGGTGTTTCTTCTGTTGCTATGTCAGGACTCTGGTTCAGCATCCATGAATATCACTGGGAAACCAGGATTCTGAAAAATCTCCCTCCCCTGACCTACAGTGTTAGGAATACTCTTGATTTTTTTTTAAGAGTCTCAGTTCATAAGTTTCACTTTGAGTGTAAAGTTCAAAACTGAAAACAAAACTTTCCTGAAGCTAGTAAGTGTTGCTTATTATGATGTGAAGGAGAACATGTTGTTGTTGTTGTTGTTGTTGTTTCCTCACAGATTTTAGAAGGAAAGGGAAAAAAGAAGGGGAAGAGCTATGGGCTATGGTATTTCAAACTCGCTGTTCAGCTAGTTTTTAATATCATACCCATCCTTCTGTTTTCTGAGGCCAAATCCGTTGTTGAACTAGGACTGTTATAAAGGTTATAAGAGCAGAACCTGCCCTGTTGTATATAACTTCACAGCCAACATTTAAGACATTACAACTGTCCTAGCATCATGACTACTGGGCATTCAAGTCGTCCTTGCAAACTTTCCATGATAACACCTTGGTACAGAGGCTAGTCTCAAGCTTAGCCCAAGAATGACTGCACACTCAGGCTGATTCTCCAGAATACCCGGAAACTTCTGGCTAGGTGAGGGATGGATGCATTAGAAATGTCATTAGTGCTATCTCTTTGTAGCCTAATTTATTCAGACTGAATTATTTTGGGCAGGTTTTAGGTGACAGCTTCCAATTCTAGACCTGTCTCATGTCTTACTTGTTCTTTGCAACTTCTCTGGCGGTATATCTGGAGAGCCTTTTAATGGGATCTTCACAAGTGCATCTGCAAGAATCCTGTAAGGCAATAACCAGGAATAAGGGCTGTGATTGCTATCCCTTGCCCGGGGTCAGGAAGTTCTCTTTGAGTAGACTACTACAATCTATGGATATATCAAAAAAAAAAAAAAAAAAACCTTTCAAATAATAAAGCCAAGAAGATTTTAGTTTTTTCATAATGGCTAAAATAACAGCTAGATTCTAGAAGCACCACTTACTTAAATTTCCAAAGTCTGCAACCGCTTATACACCTGCAAATTACTTTTGTCTCCCTCTGGCTGCCCCGGTTTTCTGACATGGGCAATGTGGATASGAGGTTATTGCTACTTCACGCTAACATCTTTGAAATCTAAACAAGAATGGAGGCATACGGGAACATAATGCTGCCTGAAATTGTAGCAAAAAGCCTGGTATGTTCAATACAGATCTGACATAGACGCTACTGCACTCATTTGCTGAGACAGTTTTCAAGGAAGATGCCTGAGAAGGGAGGCAACTTCAGCCTCAGTGGTGGGCTGCAAGCGGGGCTCCTGCGCCAGGTAACTGGGGCACACACACTCCCTGCTCTGCTCTAAAAGGGCCAAGACTATTGCTTCTTCATCCTTTCCAAGGAAGCTCTGTCTGATGGCAGCTCAAGCAATGGAATTGCTGAAACCTGCCTAGTGTAATCAGATGCTCAGAMTAGAACGGTCAAGTATAGCTTGTGAATAGAAGCTCTGCCTTCTTCTCACATATTTTTCCTTGTGTAGTTCTGTTGCATACAGACATCACCAGAAGAACCAGTGCTTTGCAGAGTACCCGGCAGCTAAACTATAGTGAGCTCTGATTTTGCATGTCTCCTGTCCTCCCAGCTTTCAGTTTCCTTCTCCCATTCTGAGGCTAGTTAGAACTCAAAGGAAAGTCCGGTGAGGAAAGCAGGGGAAGCAGACAGCCTGCATGTTTGTCCTGATCAGAACAGGTCTATGAGGTTGACAGACTATTTTGGAGTAACTCCCCTCTGTGGACACTGTTCCTGAAGCACTTCCACATTAGAATTACTCTTTTAATATCAAGCAATTACTCTGGGGACAATAAACTAGCTGCAGGTTAGTGAAAATGAAAATTACTTCTGGACTATAGGAATACTTATTTTGGAAAGAATTACAATAAACAAATTTCCCACTCAAACTGTATGTCGAAGAAGCAGCCTCACCTCAGCCCTTTTTGCCTCCAGCATTTAATAAGCGCAGTTACGGACACTCCCTCTTTTTAGGCTCCTGAACATTGGCTGTGCCACCAGTGCCCTCCTCTGGTACTTGCGAAGGCAGCATAAGGAGTACAAGATACTTGATAAAGGCTTCCTGGGCAAGAGAGCTGGGAATGTGAGGGACTGGTTGAGCTGCACAGCCATGTGACTCAGCCACTTATATTCACTTTTTGAGGAACAAAAACCTGTAATTTTCCATGCCCATGTGGCAAAGTAACTTCTCATGAATGAGGCAATAACTGTTTCCTTCTATGTTGCAGATTGTCCGGCCATCAAACCATGCTACAATCCAGAGCATCGTAAAAGCAGTGGGCATCATTCCCGGCATTCCAGAGCCCTGCTGCGTTCCCGACAAAATGAGCTCGCTCAGCGTGCTCTTCTTAGACGAGAACAAAAACGTGGTTTTAAAGGTATATCCCAACATGTCAGTTGAAACCTGCGCGTGCCGATAAGTTCATACAAATGCATCTCTAGCAAGACCACCCTGCCCAACTACACTGAAAAAGCCGTGAATGGGAAACGAATCCATGGCTGCCGCCAAGCAAACGCAGCCCGACAGCTCCTACAGACAGCATACAGAGGGACGGAAGCCGCCTGCCTGGAAGGATACATCCCAATACCATCTGCCTTGCTGGTGTAGCTAACAGTGATTCGCCTTCCGGGACATCAACACTTCGCAATTCCTTGTTAACTCATCTAGCCAAGAAACATGGTGTTTAGTGCAGAAATCTAAATGGAAAGTCTTCCATAATCAAAGGACTAAAATATGTTCTTATATGCTATTTTTCTGTTTTCTCTCTTCAGTTAACCAAGAAGATGGGAAGTGAACTTGCAAAGCAGGCTTATTCTAGAATATCACTGTACACATTTGATTTGTACACAAATCAAAACTTTTTGCCTAAAACACTCATACTCTTAATCTGCATATTTATACTGAAAATGCTGTAATAAAGGGCTTAATATGTATATTTTCTTCAGGATGCAAGTGTAGTGCACTGTATAAGCTTTTATGTATACAGTATGTTAATATAACCATTTTCGGTTACCCCTCCCTGATATATAATTTGTTCTACAAAAGGCATATGTAATACCCCGTACTCCTGGTTTGCTGGATAATTTCAGGTTGTTAAACATGTATTCTCTGAATAACATACTATATAGTAATTTGTTGAAATACTAAAAATAAAATAACCAAGATTTATATTTTTGTAAATTATACTTTATCCTCTAGTTTGTTACATGCTTTTAACAAAAGCTAATAAATTAAAGGTACAGTAGTATCTGAATATACTTGAAATGTCTTCCTACCATTCACTTGGTTACTTTCTGCTAATTAGATGGAAACATGTAGATGTATGTTAAGCTTGCCATTATATGCATCAATAGATTAAAGCCAGAAGGGAATATTATACTCATCCAGACTGACCTCCCACACAGCACAAATCAAAGAGCCTTGCCCAGTTGTTTCTGTGTCAAGGCTAAAACTTCTGTTTTGAGCTTGGGATTATCTTTGAAAAAAAATGCATAAATTTGCAGATTTCAAGTGACAGACTATCTCTACTGGACTACAAGTAGTATTCTCAGAGTTAGTTATCTGTTAAAATGTTGTGACTTATGCCTCATCTGAATTTGTTAAGTTTTGGCTTCAATTCATTTAATCTTACTCTAACCCTTCTCTATTAGATTCCTTTTGTCTAACTTATAAAATACTTTTCCTGTATATTTTTAGTATATAACAGCAGGCTGAAATTACATCTTGGCTAAGAATTAATAGATACTTTGATTTCTTACTATTCCACACCTCAAAACAATTTCTCACGGCTCTTTTCTGAACTTCTTCCAGAAATTTCAGTAACTTTTTTTTTCCCCAATAACAATGAACAGACAAACAGGACATGCTATTTGGCAGTGGTTGCACAGTAAGTCTTTACAGAAATAAATCTGCTTCCCTCTATCTCATGTATAATCCTCTCTTGATGCAACCATGATAGCCCTCTTGAGAGCATTCTAAGAGCTCATGTCCCTTTACTGTGACTGCCAGTTATCCCTCTCAGGGCTCCTGCACGAGCACCTCTCAGAGCTGACTGTGCACGMGTCCTTTTTCATTCACTGGCTCCACGGTGGCAGAGCACAAGTGGGTGCAGAATAACCTGCGGGAGTGCAGGAGATGACATGCAGTTCAAGATGGGGAGAGTTCTCTTCGAGGAACAGTCAAAACCAAGATTCAGTGTGTTCAGAGGTATCTGTGTCCATACAGACAGTTCTGGATCCAGGCAAGCATTTCTTCTTCTCCCAAATCACTAGAGATTTGCAAAGGGTCTGCTGGGACAGACCTTCATCGTACTGCTGTAATGCAAGATCTCTCTTGTAGGATCTTGTGCTCTTTGCATAGTGACAAACTCAACTAAGGTTGGAGAGAGCAATACAAATGCATCTTAAAAGTTTAAAAGCTGTCAGAAAGTCATCATTTATTCCCAGGTACACCCTGAAGTATAAAACTGTTTCTAAATCTTAAACCACAATCATTTTTTTTCCTCTATGAAGGAGAAATCTAGCTTTGCTCCCATTTAACATCACCTCTGGATGAAATGGCTACTAGCTTAGTGTAACAGCCTGCTCTACTGCATTTTGTTTTCTTTAGGGAATCTTTTAAATCCTGAATTACTTCTTGAGAAGAGAGTTGCGCTCCCAAATGTGCTCAGGCAAGCAATTAGGAAAGAGAGACACCATCCCTTGATCTGTTATAAGGCCTGCAGGATATACATGAAAATGCTACTTCTACAAACAGTAGGGAACCTTTAAAATCTCTAAAAGTCTACTCTGCATTTAGAAGTATTGTTGACATAACTGTATTTAGCATGAGAAAAAAAAAACAAAATTATATCCATAAGTGGCATGGTTATTCCAGCTTCCTTAACTATATAGGCAGGACTATATAGGATTTGCAATATTTATTTTACTCACAGAAACAGTGTAACTTTGAGAAGCAAAAGAAACTCTCATGTTTATCACTAAGGTTTGTTTTTTTTTTCTGGTCTAGATGTACTTTAATGTGGACAAAGCCTTAACCGCTATTTCTTAAGAAGTGGCTACTATTTCCTAGGAGTTTGATATTTGGATGTCTAATCTATGCCTTTAGAAGAGAAACCTTTGCATTTAATTGATTTAAATTGTTCTTTAAATGGCAGAAATGCAGTTGCAATATAGTGATATCCTMACTCCCTTGCCTCCTCTCTTCCAACAGGAGATTGGAAGATTTCTAGGAGCATCTGAGAAACCTTTTCACTCAACGTGCAGGTTACTTAGGTTAATATGGACAAAYACTTAAATTAGCAAGTCAAAAAATCCACTAAATAATCCTAAAAGAACTGAGAGCATATTAACATGAAATAATTAAAGATGGACAAAAATACAAAATAAAACCAGCAGATGCTAGCCAGCACAGTACTATGGAAAGCGGTTTTCTAATACAGAACCAGTTTCATTCTCTGAGGTCACTGTGTAATTGCTAAAGGCAACTGCAGTGGCAAGAATGTACCCAGGTTTTTGCTGAGTATTTTGACACAAATGTACATGGCAGCATAATTAAGAGAGACCATTGGACAATATTCCTTTACTTCATGGATTAATATATCACATGAATTAAGAACTGTCTTACTGTCAAATCTCAAAGAGCAGCTTTCAGAAGGGAACTGTCAACAGATGAAGCTGCTCATTGCAGAGTTTCTGCGAAGATGACAGTTGGCCTGACACCATTTGACATCTTCATATATGAACTGGAAGTCAATACAATAACCCAAATGGCATTTGCAGAAGACGCTGCTCAGGAGAGATATATTCATACAGAGCACTAGATCTGGCTACACTCTAGTTAACCAAGTCCGTTTTAAGGTAGACACAAATGCAGAGTTTGGCACCTGGGCACAAGGAATGGAGGCTGCTCCTACTGAGCTGGAGACCATGACCTTGAAAGTTGTAACTCCTACGACACTATAGGTGGGTATTTTGGACTTAAGAGCACAATACGAGCAGCCAATATGCTGCTACACAGAGAGAGCTAGCAAAGGCTTTGGAAAGGTAAAGAGGGGAACAGTGACCACAGAAGAACAGAAGGTTTCATTTCTGTATGTGGCACTAGTGATTATTGCTAGAAAACTATGCAGAGTCCTASTGTTCCCCTTTTCAAAAAGAGTACCAAAAACAGAGAAAATACCTGATAATATATGACTTAAAAAGCAGGCTGTTTATTTTAGCTAAAAGCAAACTGMGAAAATGCCAGCACAATGAGTCTCCTTAAATAGGTAAGAAATACAAGAGACCTGCTACTGTTTAGCAGGTGAGGCCAGGCACAATGATACAGTAAGTGAAGCACTATTTTCTTTAAGTGATAGTGAAAATCTTTCAGAATATGTACCACAAAACTTGAAGAAATCCTCCATTTTTGTTACATCATATAAATCCTGGAGAGCTTTACAGAAGGTGTTTAGCCAAACAAAAGTAATGGGTGGGAAATTGTTTTGACAGCAGTAGGAAATAYGAAGTCCTTGAGAGAATTACAGCCACCTTGTTCTTTCGGAAATTAGGATCAATGTCAAATAGTCCTTTCTGACCTTATGCCATAGAAACCTAATTAACTAAAATCTGGGATCTCTGTTATTAAACAGAAACAGGAGTATCTGAACAACATGGTTTCACTTTAAGCACTCTATGCACTTCTAGAAAGCTGGAGGAGAATGACCAGCACTGAAACAGACGGAGCAAAATCTTTTTCTGTATCTTTGCAAGGAGGTATTTCAGTAACATAAGAGCTTACAATATCATTCTGACCTAATTCTGACCACAATCGATTATGGATTTGGCTGTGCTTAGAAAGAACAATACATACACTTACAGTTCAGATAAAACATCTAGACTAATTCGTAACAGATTCAGTAAGATAAATACAAAGTAGTATTTTTGCCTGTTAACAAACCAGAGGCTTCCTTTCTTGTTGCATGAAAAATTCTTTCAATTCTGTAGTTTTGTCTTGGTTCATACTTCACGGGAGTAGCAGTATCTTCATAGATAATTTTCCATATCTTCATATAGCCCTTTTAACTTCTGTATAGGCTTAGAAGTTTTACTTCTGTCTTCATTCTGAGGTCACTGGAATAAAAACTGTGTGTTCTTGGACTGAACTGGCCAACAATCTCCTATATAAGAATATAAGAAATATATTACATAATATCCTATAGAAATAAGACTCACTTCCCATCCACCAAAGGAATCAAACTGCAAATGGAAAACCCTGCACATAACACGAAGCAAACTTGACAGAAAACAGATATTTCACTGTGTACAAATAATAGCTCTTTGCTGATAAACGCAAAGAAATTTTAAGGTTGTTTGTGCTGTCACGAGATCATGTCTTGCAGAATCACAGGCCTCCATCATATGGTTGGGGGGGTTCTGATGGTATGTGAAGGGACTGTGACAAAGATTTGTGAGGTGTTATTCACAACCAGCTGACAGACTAATTTTGTTCTAAATCTCAATTTTCTCGTCTTGGTGAAAACAGGGTAATTCTTCACGTCCCTAAGAAAGTTTCTCCGTGTTGGCAAGGAAATGATAAAAGAGTGTAATTAAGCAATGATGACCCTACAGTGAAATGTGGATTCTTTACAATATACAGTGTCCTTCCCACCAGCATATGTGTTTGTCAGATGTTTATAGAATCTTCATTAACTAAGAGCTTTGCTAGATAACAGAAGCTAAAGCATGGCATCAATGACTCAGATAAGGGCAAGTGTACAGCCAATCTGCTTGACAACTGACAAGAGGCTGAGGTTTGTAGCAGACTGTAAAAAGAACTCAAGAAAGTGATCTGCAAAGGGCATCCCTGTTCCCAGTGTCTGCCGTCCATCTACTTGCCTTTGCCTGTAATGAAACAGGAGTTTTAAATAATCTAAAATATAACTGTCCTCTTATCTCTTCATCAGAAAGTAAATATAGAAGAAATGCACTATTTTGGGGTATTTGCTGCACTGTCTGTTTTCAACATCATTGCCTGTTTGACAAGAGGCAAGCCTCTGAAAGACTGGGACAAGTCACCAGCTCTGGGAAAGTCTGATGCACCCTTTTATGATCCTGGAGAAGTGGAAGATGAGGCTCACTTCAACTTTAAATCTTTACTGGAGAATATGAAGATGGATTTACTAAGGAGTTTGAATTTATCAAAGGTCCCCTCACAAGAGAAGACCAAAGAAGAACCACCACAGTTCATGATTGATTTATACAACAGATATATTGCAGACAAGTCCTCCATCCCTGCATCCAATATTGTGAGGAGCTTCAGTACTGAAGGTAGGAGATGTCTAAATACATAGACTAGAGTTTTTAAAGAAGTATATGAACAGGAGGTACTCAGACTCCTTTGCAATTCAGAGGGAATTGTGTTCCTAACTCSCATGGATTATTTAGAAACAAAACAGATTAAAATCTTGGATTGTAGTCTTGCTCTGTAGTCTTTTAAACTTTTTAAAAATACYATTATCTTTCATGTTTTTATCGTACTCTATCCCTTTCTCAAATGCACTGAGGCACTCACTGTACTGAGTAAAAAGCGTTAGATAAGCTGTGTTTCCCAAAGTKAGAGTTTTGTACTGAGTTTAATGTTAGAATGGTTATTTTGATCATCTGCAACTGCGAATTTCACACTAGACAGCTCTTCTTTCTGGGGAGTTCCTCTCATCCTTTATAAACACCTCATTCAACTGTTAAATGTGTCCCTAGATCCAAACAAGGAGCATTAGTGTTCCCCCAACATTCTTGTGCCTGCAGATTTAGATGCAGAGGGAATTTCAAGTTTGTTTCAACTAAAAAAAAAAATTAAAAAAATTAAGATCTCTATCTGTATAAAATTAAAAAAAAAAGCTTCATCACAAGAAGCAATAAAAAGTTGTAGGTATATACAATCCTTGTGACAGAAATGAAGTAAGGAAAATCAAAGCTTCTGTTTATTTAAAAAAAAAACATATAAAGCAACAGCACTACAGTGATCTCTACATTCCCAAATTAGCGTCCCCAATCCSGCGCTGGAAAGAAACTGTAGCAATACAAACTAGAGCACAGTCTCCATATCCCACCCTCCCCTCTAACTGCTTTAGTAGGTGAACACGGTGAAGCATCAACATTAGCCAACTAAAATTGCCCTAAAATCCCATGRTGATTGACCATAAAACAGCCATCAGTCAGTGATGATTTTTAAACACTACTGATGTCTTCCAGCAAAACCACTGCCTCTCCCCAGGCCAAACTGCTGGTAGTGCTCATACCTTGGGAAAATAAAGCCCTGCATAAGCCCAGGAAGTCTAGCCTGGAACCCACTGGGACCTACACATGAAAGYCTGATTATCACCCAGTCTCATTTTAGACTGTGAAGCTTCAAGTTTGGGTTTTTCAAAGCTTTTCTGTTTCCACTAGCTCCCAATAACCCAACATGCTCTCAAAGCTATTGGAAGACAACAACAAAAGCCTCATTGCAGTTAATTCTTACAAAGAGAACCCCCTCCTCTGTACTGAGGGGTCCTTCTCCATTGGTAGGGCAGTTCACCTGATAGCACAGTGATGTATGAGGGAAATTTACAACTTTTTTTTTAGAAATTCTTCCAAGTAAAATTTCTTTAGAAAATTGCTTAATCTAAATACTCCACAGATGCCTTACTGTGCCTTCTATTGACAACAGTGCCAGTTTGTTTTGGGCAGAGTATTTATGTTCCCTTCCATTCATCCTCATGCTCACCCGACTCTGCAGGCACAGTGAAACACTCCCAACACCACTGACCCACTTTTGGACTTTTTGCACCCTATCCCTGAAAACCTGACTAGAAACCTTTTTTTTTTTTTTTTTTTTTAATAAGTTCTGGGGAGCCGTGGTCTCTCTGGTCTCTTTTACTCCTGCATTACTCCTGCATCTTTAAAGATCAAGTTACTGGAGCAGTCACAAGCACTGTAACCGTATGTTTTAATTTCCTATTGCAGATGTTGTTTCTTTAGCAACACCAGAAGAAAATTCATTGCAAAAACACATCTTGCTCTTCAACATCTCTATTCCGCGATATGAGGAAATCACCAGAGCTGAACTGAGAATTTATATCTCCTGTCACAGCAAAGTTGGGTCTCTCTCTAGACTGGAAGGCAACATGGTCATTTATGATGTTCTAGACGGAGATTACTGGGAAAATCCAGAAAGCACCAAATCTTTCCTTGTTTCCCATGATATCCAGAAGTGTGGATGGGAGATATTTGAAGTGTCCAGTGCTGTGAAAAGATGGGTCAGGGCAGACAAATTGAAGACTAAAAACAAGCTGGARGTTGTTACAGAGAGTAAAGCTCTAGGTGGTTTCATGTGTGGGAAGCTGGATATCAGTGTTCCGCCAGACAATAAAAATCTGCCCCTGTTAATTGTGTTCTCCAATGACCGCAGCAACGGGTCAAAAGAGACCAAAGTGGAGCTCCGGGAGATGATTACTCATGAACAAGGCAGTGTGCTAAGGAAGTTAGCGAAGAACAACACTTTGCCTCAAGAGGAAGACGAGAGAGAGACAAAGGCCGTTGTCAGGCCCCACCACCATCCCTCCAGAAGCAAGAGAAGCATCAGAGCCAACCACTGCCGGAGAACTTCCCTCCACGTGAACTTTGAGGAGATTGGCTGGGATTCCTGGATCATTGCGCCCAAAGATTATGAGGCTTTTGAGTGTAAAGGAGGCTGCTTCTTCCCTCTGACAGATAATGTTACTCCAACAAAACACGCTATTGTCCAAACTCTGGTGCACCTCCAAAACCCAAAGAAAGCTTCCAAGGCCTGCTGTGTTCCAACCAAACTGGATTCAATCTCCATTCTTTATAAGGACGATGCTGGTGTGCCCACTTTGATATATAACTATGAAGGGATGAAAGTGGCAGAATGTGGTTGCAGGTAGTATTTAAGGCAGCATCTCGGAGAATAAGAACAGACCGTTTTCTGCTCCGTGTAAATCTGTACATTAGTGATGTAAATGAAAATTCCTGCAAACAAGGTTTGGGGCAGGGATGGAGGCTGGTAGTGGTTGGTGCTGCTTCTTGTTTGAAGGAAATCTGATGTTTAAAGAATAGCTATCATTGTAAATATCCATTATATATCATAGTTAAGTGAATATTGGATTAAAATATTGAAATTGAAAGAAACACACATTATTTGATGTCAGATCATGATACAATTTGAATAACTTAAATGTACTTTTCTGGTAAATCAGTGCCATTCAGGTCACAAACTACAGGATTTTCAGAACAAACTATGGGATCCAAGATGTCCTGTAAACGCGTAATATGTTTTGCAACGTAATTCTTTCAGCCAGCTCTGACATTTTCAACCTCTGTGAAACCCAGTAAACCAAATTTATGGTGCATGGTAAAGCCAGGGGTAAATCCTGCAAGCATTTTCTTATGTAAGTAAGTCCAGAGGCTTTTACAGATCATTTTAATGTAGATTTATCTACTCTTACAAGTGAAGGTTTGCAACATTCAAAACAGAAGAAATTCTCACTCTTAGTTCATTCCTAAGTTTCCTTAGTTTCCTTCTGTGGGTAGCAGGTGCCTTGCTTTCTGCTTTCTTATCCTCAATGTCCCTATTTTTACCGCTTTATAGCACATACTTGAACGATAAGAAGYGCAGCCTTCCGCTTCTAAGACACTGTTTCCTACGAGGAACAGCAGCCCTTATCACTGCACAAAGATAAAACGCCACTTTGACCTACTGCATRTTCTTAGTATTTCTTTGCAAGAACATGCAGTCAAACGACGTTCGGCCTTAGAAGCTGCCTGCTAGCAGTGGGGGTTGGCAGTGCTCWGCATTTGTGAAAAGAAAACGGCTGCTTATTTAGATGCCTAAATATGGTCTTTGGAGTCTGAAACTGGGATTCCCTTTTATCTTAATTTCTTCTTAGAAGAAACTGAAAGCTCCTATCTGTGTTCTGCAAGATTCATATTGGTAAATACAGCMTCATACTGTAGCCCTCTCAACTTTAGTTGCACTCAGTCAGGTCCTCAAATRACCAAAGGCCCCATCCTTCCTGCAAAAGCAAGTTTTCTTTGATTTTAATGAAGCTTTTGACTGTACAAGAACAGATGAAAATATTTTGCATTGGTTTAAAATGACAAGTGTAAATGCTGTATAATGCAGTTACACTGCATCTCATTTCTACTACACCACTGTCCACAAAAAAAGAAAAATACCAGAGTAGACTTTTGATCAAAACTCACAACAATCTATACAGTCCAAACCCACAACAAACTATACATCTGTTCAAAACAGTGAAGAACACTGACGAGGCAAAAATCTGAACAGTAGCTTTATATATAGCAAGACACACAATTTAAATGGATGCATGTGTTTTAAATTAGAGCAACCTGTGGGTGAGACAAATTCATTTGGCATGAATAGTTCATCTTGAAATCTAATAAGCAGCTTATTTACTATTGTTAACTTAATACAGAGTGATTCACAGGTGAGCGTGAGCAAGGCAGCTGTAATTCCACCAAGAACTGTTGGAGACTCCAGGAATCATGAGAACAAAGCACAATGCACCTCGGCCTTGGTCTCATTTATAGCTCACAGATCAGATCCAAGATCTGGGTCCATGCAAACTCCATACACTCCTAAATGCCTGTCATTAATATCTTAAGCTTCCAGTGATAGGTCCTCTTATTCTACCACTCCCCACTGGCTTCTGTCGTCATCTTCCACTTGCTGTTACACCTTCCCCCTTTCAGAACCACTTGTGCTCTTCTCCTCTTCCACTGATGTCTCACTAGCTCCTGGTATTTTGGCATCAATCCCCTGCTCTTTACGTAACAGAAACAACCAAACAAGCAGCCAGGATGATTGCATTTGAAAAGTTATTCACTCATATGCCAAGGTAACTGTAGATGTGCGCCCTGAAGTCATTCAAACATAAGGTCCTGGTTATATTCCGACTTCACTGAATGCAGTACTTTGTCCATCATCATGTKAAAGAGTGGGGATGGGGAAACACCAGTCTCCACATGTTCACAGAGACAGATTCTCAGGAATCAATGCTTCTTTTTATCTTTTTTTTTTCTTTTTTTTTTTCCATACTCTACAGTCAAATGTTGATCTGTATTTCCCAAATTTACATTGAAAAAAAAAAAGCCAATTGTAATCAAAAGCTATCAGAATTCCAGAGAAGCAGATTCCAGAATCTACGTACTCCTTCCCAGAATTGTAGCACAAGTCCCTTCTGTATTCCAACAACTACAAAAATCAACTGCTCTTCCAACCACATTCCCATAGGGTCAACATTTCAGTTGGTATGAGGGCAAAATGAAACATGAATCTTTCCACAGGATGATCAACAGGGTCAAGAAGAATCAGGAACCCAATGGCTGAGGTTTGTGCCGAACTGATGCTTAGTTCAGCAGCTTGATGCATGTAGTTTTGACCATTTGATTTAAACTATTGCTCAGGCTCCTTATGTCTCTAGTTTAACTCCTTTGGGACACAATCAATCAGCCAATTGACCAAGCAGCATTAGGAATTATATGGGTGGTCCCTGAGATACTGATAAAAAGCAGCTTGCAGGTTGGGGCTTGCACATTGTCCAGGAGATGTTGAGATAAAAACAAAACACTCGTGCTTAGCACAAACCCGTGACTTGAACASGCCCTTCCACTCTGGATGCTTAGCTGGGTATCACCCTGTGAAACCAGAATCACCAGTTGACCCCCCAGCCAATGTTAGGGCTGCCCTRTAGCACTTCAGCCCTAGCCTATATGATCCAGGCGAAGAAAGCCAGCCAGGGCATAAAACAACTGCTACTTTACATAGYTTTCTATCCTATCTGTATAGGCAACAGGCTAGGTGTCCTCTGACCCAATCCACTGCTCTGTCATGTCCAAACACAGGGCAGTGGGTACCACTTACCACCTGGCAGCATCACAACACTCATCAATTACTGGTAGTCAGAAGAGTCCCAGCAAGTCAGAAGTGTTCAGCTGGTATCTACACAAACATCTTTGAACCAAGAATATCTTCATATAAAAACACCACAGGCTATGGTCTCTGACACCATAGGTTACCTGCTCCCATAGCACTGCTGAGGCTCATGCGGGCTCCCCAGGGCCTGCCCAGCAAAACCCCACAGCACGTAGCTCCATACACGCTAACAGAGCTAACCCAAGGTGTCCTCAACTCCTCACAGTGGGCATCAACACCTCACCACAGCAACAAATCAAAGTTTTTACTACACAGAAACGGCCAGCATTTGGAAAGAAACATGGAACAAGCTGATAAAAGTCGGCAAGCCACAAGAAAACAGTGTCTGCCAGGCAAGACCCATCCTCAAACCGCTCAACAGTGGCTGTCTCGGTGGCTATGAAGATGAGCAGGACCCTGGGTCGGAGGCTGAACCTGCCCCTTCTCACCATTTCCCTGACTTACCCTTTGTTGTCTGTTTAGTATAGACAAACCCAGCGCTGGTCTCTCTGAAGTCTCTGTGGCACTGAGCCTGCCTATGGGGCAGGAGGCTCGAGTTGGAGTCACTCTTCTAGGCTCAGATCTCCTCCATGCTGCAACGTAGTCATCCTTGGGCTCTCTTACACCTTCATCAATATTTCTAGGCTGTGTCCCATCTTTGCCCTGCCTTGGTGCTGTCTCTGGACTGTGGCCTCAGCCCCTTCTGTGGTGTGGCCTCCACACCACCTGAGCAGTTTCTCTCGCTGCATGCAGCCTCTGCACCATTTCAGCACCCTGACTGCATGCTGCCTCTGCATCATCTGGGCACTGTCTCCTGCTGCATGCAGCCCCTGCTCTGCCTCAACTCTATCGTTGGCTGCATGCAGCCTCCATGAAGCCTCCAAGTCATCTCCGGCTGCACGCTGACCTCTGCACCACCTCAGCATCATCTCTGGCTGTGTGCAGGCTCCATGCCATCTCCACATGTGGCCTCCGCCCTCTCTCGGCACCATCTCCGGCTGCATGCAGCCTCCATGCCATCCCTGGCTGCGGAGTGGAGCCTCCATGCACTCCCTTACTGCGTGCAGACACCTTGACTGCCTGCACACACCCTGCCTCGGCCGGTGCCTCGCGTGCAGCCGGTGCCTCGCGTGCAGCCGACACCTCGCGTGCAGCCCGCGCGGCGCCCCCTATGGGGCGAGTGCAGCACCCCGTGTGCAGCCCGCGCGCCGTGTGCAGCCCGCGCGGCGCCCCGTGTGCAGCCCTCGTCCCGTGTGCAGCCCGCGCGGCGCCCCGTGTGCGGCAGGTGCAGCGCCTCGTGTGCAGCCCGCGCGGCGCCCCGTGTGCGGCAGGTGCAGCGCCTCGTGTGCAGCCCGCGCGGCGCCCCGTGTGCAGCCAGAGCCCCGTGTGCAGCCCGCGCGGCGCCCCCTGTGCGGCAGGTGTAGCGCCCCCTGTGGGGCCCGCGCGGCGCCCCCTGCCGCCGCCGCCTTCCCCGCGGCTTCGCGGGAGCTCTGCTCGTCCCCGCGCGCTCCCCTGAGGCTTCCCACGTGCCCTGCGCCCCCGGCCGTTGCGAGGGATTTCAGCCCCTGCCACACAGTTCTGGGGTAGATGCGGGGAGGGAGTGACTAGCCCACATATTATATGTGGAGGCTGGCAAGAACTGTTCAGAGCGATAAAAATAACCAGGGAAAGGGTTTCCTGAGRTCGCCTTTGCTCAGGTACAACCTCAGCAGTACCGTTGCGCCAGGCCCATTTACTGCAGCTGACTCATCTTTTCGAGGCCAGCAGCAGAACGAAGCCCCRTCACTTTTAAGGCAACCCCATTTTGAAGTAAATGCCCCTGGCCTCACGGGTGCGCAAGCCCTGGCCCCTCTGTCCCTCTCCCACTTTCCATGCCCAGTGTCACTCACCAATGGCCATCCTGCCACGGCAGCCTGTCCTTGCGGGCCTGCCTGACTGTGCCACGCAGCC